GCAAACTGGGAATGTAGCATATCTGTCGGAGCCAAAGGCAGCTGTGCAGTGTTTCCACTGCTAAATGCACAGTGCTGCTCTCTTCATATCAAATGCAGGTCAGATTTTAAACAGGTACAAAAGCATAAGTCTCTTGGAATTCAGTCTTGCATCCTTCCCACTTCATCACTCCTAAGCACCAAGAGGTACATAAACTTTGTTTTGGAGGAAAAAAAGAATTACATTGTTATGCATGTGTTTTTAGCATGTCTCACACATCTGGATATTTAGGTAAGAATTCCTTAGCGACAGGTAAGATTTTAGAGGCTTCTAAACCTTCCAGAACCAAACGGAATTCTAACAGAGTAATCGGTAACAATAGTGCTAGAACTTTCTTAGCACAAAATGAATAATCCCTACATTTTTACCACTAGGAGGAGCCTGTGTCTTAGTTTTTAAGAATTTCCATTTTTGTTTTAACCCTTATTTCCAAAGCACTTACACAAATGTAATGAAGAGTCATAAACTTGCCTTAAAAATTCTTTATGCTGAACAAGTTTCTTTTTCTGCTACAATTTCTCGTTTGTGGAAGTTGGTTTTCAAAAAAAGAGTTAAACTCTGCAAACACTGGGGTTTGTGACTAGTCTTCCTGGCAGTTTGCAAAGTGGAACCAAGGTTGCTAATTCATCTGTCTTCTGGTTCCCAGATCTCTATTGTGATGTTCAAAAAAAATGGCCTTGTTTTATTTGTGAATGCAGTGTCCACTTCTAACATGAGTTTGTCCACATTTTAAAGGTTAGATGCTTAAACATCAGTGAGTGTCATGACACTGGTACTTATTAAGTGATGTCTATTAAAGATATATCTGGAAAAAAACTTACTGAAGACATCTGTTGAGGGAAAGTTCGTTGCTAAAACCATTGTAAAAACTTGCTACTTTCTGATTCCTAACTTCAGATTATCCCTACCCTCCTACTTAGACACTTTCAGGATATTAGAGTAAAATAAAATGTTTTTCTGGATATTTAAAAGCTAAATTGCTAGTAAACATAAATCATTAGGAATTTTGATTCCAACTAAAGTTCTAGCTTAGTAATCAAAGTCGGTGCAAAAATGTGGCTGTGAAAAACTTGCTACTTTCTGATTCCTAACTTCAGATTATCCCTACCCTCCTACTTAGACACTTTCAGGATATTAGAGTAAAATAAAATGTTTTTCTGGATATTTAAAAGCTAAATTGCTAGTAAACATAAATCATTAGGAATTTTGATTCCAACTAAAGTTCTAGCTTAGTAATCAAAGTCGGTGCAAAAATGTGGCTGTGATTCTAAGCCTTCTTAGGAACCTTTATGTTTCAAAATATTGAAGATATTCCTAGAATCATGCTGCTTATGCCAGAGGAAAGCTTTTGCTTCCCACTGACTGTGTTTCTAATAGGGAAGCAGTTGCCCACAATGGGAACAAACCAGCTGCTTGCACCTGTAACAGGCATAGACTTCTGTTATCATTGAATTCAGAACTAGGCAGAAAATAGAAGCTAAGCATCTTTCAAAGAGCAATATTTACATCCCAGTTCCCCTTGATTGCCAAGTAGATGAAAGTCAGATGATACTGACTCTGAGGCAAGATCAGCCTCCTGGGAGAAAAATGGCTTTTGCACAACTCTTGACTCCAGTGCTGTCTAGGAACTCCAAGTCCCTGCTCTTAGACAAGACACACTTTGGTGAAGGAAAACATCTCCTAGCTCCTGAAGAAGTGGAAATTAGGACCAAGAAGCAGCAGCTTTGTGCAAAGCAATTTGCCACACAAAAGACATTTCCAAAATGCTTCTTGTTCTTCCAGAAGTCACAGTTCACCCAGAGGTATCAGCATCTCACAAGGGCGAGACATTTCCAGATAGCTGAGTGGTACTTTGTTTCTGCTAGCAGCAGTGGCTTCCTTAGCCCTACCCTGTAATGCTCTTATGAGGTGTTCAGTGGGAACAGTGTTGAGATCCTACAGCCACAGTGTGTCTGCTTTACTAAAATAGTAGAAATATGATGATGCTTTAAATAATAGCGGGGATATGACCCCCTTCCAGTACTGTATCTGAAGGTTTAAAAGGTTAGTCTTGGTGACAAGTGAGGTCTGAGTGCAGCTGAGTAGAAGTCAGGCTTAGGGAGGACCTGTGTCAAGCAGATTCTGTGCCCAGATATGATAAAAATCAGCTCAGTGCTTATACGAAGGTTAGTAAAATCGTAAGTTAACTTTCTGTTTACAGGTGTAAATGTTTTGAAACTCCAAATAGTAGTTCTAGCAGTGATTAATTTTACTAGTGTCTTTTTAAAATCCAGAAAAGAAGTAGTGAGTAATTATCAAAGAACCTGTGTTCTATGTAAAGCAGAATTGTAGCTGTAGCCAGAGATTCCCAAATGGTGTGTTTTGGACAATGGTTCTGCAAAGGTATGCTCAATAACACAGCAGTGGGTATTTCCAGCACTCACCTACAGTAAAAGCAGCAG